ATTTTGCCTCAGCTATAGGATAGGCTAACTACTTATCTCCTTGTTTTTCATATTAAGAAAATTATTCTAATAGCTGTTGCATGACTCTTAAGGGAAGTAAAATTTCACAGATTTAGGTCTGAAACTGACATAACACTAGACAAAGTTTTGTATTTTTAATTTCATGAATGTAGCAAGTTCCTAAAACAACAGTAACAAAACCAAACCACAACCCAGATTTTTTTTAGAAAGATGTGCCACATGAACTTAAATCAGTTTTGGAAGGTTGATACTCTATTATGTTCTCAGTAGGAGAGTTGAAAGTGATGATGAAAATGTGAGACACCATGATCAACACTGAGTTGACTTAAAGTCAGAAAAAAATGCATAAAGAGTACAGTGAGACAGGGAAACATGACAATAGATTTAATGTTGCAGGCTGAAATAGAGTCTTACAAACAGTGAAACATAGTAATGGTATTACAGAAATTGATTTATGATATAGAGGACAAACCTAGGACATTTTCTGTGATACAGAATAATAAGAAAAGAAGAAGCCAATTATAAACCACAAGAAAAGACATGTGGAAAATAGAATGAGAAAATTTGTGTTCCTAAGAAAGAGATCAAAACCAATAAATAATGAAGGAATATCTATTAAAAATATAATTTAGAAAAACATTATACAACTGAAAAAAAGTTTGACTTGTAAAAGTGAAATTGTTTACCAAGACAAATATCTCTATTTCTGTGAGGAATGATTGTGGTATTCTGATGGGGATTGTGTTGAATTTGTCAATAGCTTTTGGCAGTATGGTCATTTTCAAAATATTGATTCTACCTATCCATGGGCATGGGATGTGTTTCCATTTGTTTGAGTCATCTATAATTTCTTTCAGCAGTGTTTTGTAGTTTTCCTTGTAGAGGTCTTTTGACTCCTTTGTTAGGTATATTCCTAAGTATTTTATTTCTTTTGCAGCTATTTAAAAGGGGTTGAGTTCATGATTTGATTCTCTGCTTGGTCACTGTTGGTGTATAAAAGAGCTTCTGATTTGTGTACATTAACATTGTATCTGGAAACTTTGCTGAATTCTTTTATCAGCTCTAGGAGGTTTCTGGAGGAGTCCTTATAGTTTTCAAGGTAAGTGATCATATCGTCAGCAAATAGTGACAGTTTGACCTTTGCTCTACTGATTTGGATGCCTGTTATTTCTTTCTCTTGTCTGATTGTGCTGGCTAGGACTTCCAGTACTATGCTTAAGAAGAGTGGTGAGAGTGGACATCTTTGTCTTGTTCCAGTTCTGAGAGGAAATGCTTTCAACTTTTCCCCATTCAGTATTATATTGGCTGTGAGTTTCTCATAGATGGCTTTCATTGCATTAAGATATGTCCCTTGCATGCCGATTTTGCTGAGAGTTTTATTCATAAAGGGATGCTGCATTTTGTCAAATGCTTTTTCTGCATCTATTGAGATGATCATGTGATTTTTGTTTTTAATTCTGTTTATGTGGTGCATCACATTTATTGACAATTCTAAAATTCATATGAAACCAAGAAAGAGCCTGCATAGCCAAAGCAAGACTAAGCAAAAAGAACAAATCTGGAGGCATCGCACTAGCTGATTTCAACCTATGCTATAAGGCCATTGTCACCGAAACAGCATGGGACTGGTTTAAAAATAGGCACATAGACCAATGCAAGAGAATAAAGAACCCAGAAGTAAATCCAAATACTTACAGTCAGCTGATCTTTGACAAAGAGAACAAAAACATCAAGTTGGGAAAAGACAACCTTTTCAACAAATAGTGCTGGGATAATTGGCTAGCAACATGTAGGAGAATGAAATTGAATCCTGATCTCACCTTATACAAAAATCAACTCGAGATGGATTAAAGACTTAAACCTAACATCTGAAACCATAAAAATTCTAGAAGACAACATTGGAAACACCCTTCTGGACATTGGCTTGGGCAAGGGTTTCACGATCAAGAACCCAAAAGCAAATGCAGGAAAAATGAAGATAAATAGCTGGGACCTAATTAAACCAAAGAGCTTTTGCATGGCAAAAGGAACAGTTAGCAGAGTAAAGAGACAACCCACAGAGTAGGAGAAAATCTTCATAATGTATGCATCTGGCAAAGGAATAATATCCAGAATCTTCAATGAACTCAAATCAGTAAGAAAAAAACAAACAATCCCATCAAAAAGTGGGCTAAGACCATGAGCAGACAATTTACAAAAGAAGATATACAAATAGCCAACAAACATATGAAAAAATGCTTATCATAACTAATGATCAGGGAAATGCAAATCAAATCACAATGCGATAACACCTTACTCCTGCAAGAATGTACATAATCAAAAAACAGTAGATGTTGACCTGGATGCAGTTAACAGGGAACACTTCTACACCGCTGGTGGAAATGTAAACTAGTACAGTTGACATGGAAAACAGTGTGGAGATTCCTTAAATAACTAAAAGTAGAGCTGCCATCTGATCCAGCAGTCCCATTACTGGGTATCTACCCAGAGGAAAAGAAGTCATTATTCGAAAAAGATACTTGTACACACATGTTTATAGCACCACAATTCACAATTGTAAAATCATGGAACCAACCCAAATGCCCATCAATCAATGAGCAGATAAAGGAACGGATGTGTATATATCATGTATATATATATCATATATATACATGATATATGACATATATCATATATATACGTGATATATCATATATATATCTCTATGTACATCATATATATACATCATATATATGTGTGTGTGTATATATATATATGATGGAATACTATGTGGCCATAAAAATGAATAAATTAACACTATTTGCAGTGATCTGGATGAGATTGGAGACTATTATTCTAAGTGATGTAACTCAAGAATCAAAAACCAAACATTGTATGTGCTCACTGATATCTGAGAACTAATCTATGAGGACACAAATGCATAAGAATGATACAGTGAACTTTGGGGACTGGGGTAGAAGAGTGAGAAGGGGACAAGGGATAAATACTACAAATATGGTGCAGTGTATAAATGGGTAATTGGTGCACCAAAATCTCACAAATCACCATTAAAGAATTTACTTATGTAGCCAAATACCACGTGTACACCAAAAACTTATGTAAAACTAAAAAAGAAAAATACTTAGTCTTATCCTAATGAATTTGTAAAACGTTTCAAGAAAAAATTAATAATCCTATCATCAAAAGAGGAGGAAAATAACCCTTTTACTCCAAAGAATAAAAATGACTTTTGAAACCTCTGCTTAATAAGTGCAGGAGAAAGTAGAGTAAAATCTGATATATTTCTAGAGAGAAAGGAATTAATAAATACATATATATGTGCATGCATATATGTATGTATGTGTATATAAATATATACATATATATGTATTAATGCCAGATGTATGTACACACACAAACACACACACGTGCACCAGGTAGTTTGTTAATCATGTACATAGGGAGAGAAAGTGAATCACTCATGCTATCTCAGCTAACTCATAAGAAACACTTGAATATATATTCTAGCCAGCATAATTATAAATTATGTATCAAATATTCATCAAATATTTAATAATAGTAATCTGTAGCACCATTATGAAGGGCAGACACTGTGCTAAAACTTACTATAAAGTAATAGGCCAAATTTCATATAATGCTCCTTGTTATATTTAGGAAGTGCTACAGTGTGTACAACTGGGAGATATGAGCCATAAAGGCAGTCAAAAAGGATCTCTGAGAAAGTTTTAGTTGAATTAAGATCTAACGATTAGCATGAAAAATTAGGCTCATTCGGTAGAAGGGAAAAGTATATTCAGACACCCTGGGAAGAGAGTAACCATGACATGGTTAGAGACCCTCTGTGACTATAGAGGAGAAAAGGGAGTCATGGGGGACACAAGAGGTATGGGAAGTGATAGGAGACAGATCATGCATGGCCTTATATGCCATATTAATATCTTCAGTCTTTATCTGTAAAACATGGGAAACAACTGATTAAGGTGTGTGTGTGTGTGTGTGTGTGTGTGTGTGTGTACTACTGACATGTTCAGATTCACATTTTTTAAAGTTCACACTGTTTGAAGGTATAAGGAATATATTTTAAAAGAACAATTTAAATATACAAAAACCATTAAAGGTGTTATTTTATTTGTGTACCTCCAGAGATGATGGATTAGAGTGACAGTGATAGACAAGGAAAAAGTGGACACTTGAAAGATGTCCTGGACTAATTCAAAATAGCCATGAGGATAATAAAATACCTAGGAATACAGCTAACAAGGGAGGTGAAAGATCTCTACTGGAATTATGAAACACTGCTAAAAATAATAAAAGACAGCACAAACAAATGGAAAAACATTCTATGCTCATATATAGGAAGAATCAATATCATTAAAAGGGCCATACTGCACAAGGTAATTTACAGATTCCATGCTATTCCTATCAAATGACCAATATCATTTTTCACACATTTAGAACAAAAACTATTCTAAAATTCATATGGAACCAAAAAAGAGAATGAATAGCCAAAGCAATTATAAGCGAAAAGGAAAAAGACAGAGGACTCACACTATCTTGACTTCAAACTGTACTGCAAAACTACAGTAACAAAAACAGCATGGTACTGGTACAAAAACAGACACATAGACCAACTGAACAGGTTGTAGAACCCAGAAATAAAGCTGCAAACCTACAATTCATCTGACCTTTGACAAAATCTATAGTAACAAGCAATGGGGAAAGGACTTCCTATTCAATAAATGATGTTGCGATATCTAGCTAGCCATACACACAAGATTGAAACTGGACCTCTTCCTTTCACCATACACAAAAATCAACTCAAATTAGATCAAAGACAAAAATATGAGACCTAAAACTATTAAAACCCTAGAAGAAAATATAGGACATACCATTCTGAACATAGGCTTTGGCTTGGCAAAGATTTCATGACAAAGTCTCCAAAAGTACTTGCAACAGAAAAGGAAATAGACAAGTGGGACGTCGTTAAACCAAATAACTTCCACACAGCAAATAAAAACTATCAACAAAGTAAACAATGTACAGAATGGGAGAAAATATTTGCAAGCCATGCATCTGACAAAGGTTTAATATCCAGAAGCTATAGGGAACTTAAACAATTCAGCAAGTAGTAACAATCCCATTAAAACATGGGCGGAAGTGTGGCCTGACTATGGGGAAGCAAAAGAAAACAAGGAAGTATGCGACCATGAAGCGAATGCTTAGTCTCAGAGATCAGAAGCTTAAAGAAAAGGATAGATTAAAACCTAAAAAGAGAAGAAGGATCCCAGTGTGTTATAGGAAAGAGGGGTTCCTCAACGCCCTTCCTATTTTCCAATATGGGTATTGATCGACTCACCACCTATGCAACTTACGACCATTCGACTTTACGACCACAATCGCTAGCCACGACTGCTCCGCGTCTGGCAGCGCAAACGTTGCGCAGCTGGCTGTATGACAGTGCAGACCAGCTTCCGGCAGCACTACCATCTCCGCGTGCACCATTTCAGCTGTACATATAGCCTACTCAACTTACAACCAAATCGTGTTACCACCGGTCTGCAGTCCGACCGTGGTCGTAAGTCGAGCACTAGCTATATAATACACAGCTGGGCCCACCTTTCCACATTGTCATTGATACCAACGTTATCAACTTTTCCATAAAAGCCAAACAGGACTTAGTGCAGTCAATGATGGACTGTCTGTATGCCAAGTGTGTCCCTTGTATAACTGATTATATAATGGCTGAAACTGAGAAATTGGGCAGAAGTATCAAGTGGCTCTAAGGATCGCCAAGGATCCAAGATTTGAACGTTTACCATGTACACACAAAGGAACCTACGCAGATGACTGCTTAGTACAGAGAGTAACTCACCATAAGTGTTACATTGTGGCCACAGTTGACCCGGACCTTAAAAGAAGAATCCATGAGATTCCTGGGAGTTTCTGTCACGTACATTTCTAACCATAGATACAACGTTGAACAGATGCCAGATGATTATGGAGCCCCTAGATTTTAATTCTTACAAGACACAGTTCCTCTCTAACTTTCTTCGACCACCTTTCTCTTGTTGCCAGTTCATTACACATGCAATAGCATGAATTATTATTCTGCTGACCTGTTTGCTCTATTATGAGCTGAGGATGGTTAAAAATATGCTCACTCTTTTTTTTTTTTTTTGAGATGAGATTTCACTCGTGTTGCCCAGGCTGAAGTGCAGTGGTGTCTTCTTGGCTCACTGTGATCTCTGCCTCCCGGATTCTGTCGGTTCTCCAGCCTCGGCCTCCCAGATAGCTAGGATTCCAGGCACGAGCCACCATGTCCAGCTAATTTTTTTTTTTTTTTTTTTGGTATTTTTACTAGAGACAAATACTTTTTTTTTTTTTTTCCCCTTGGGATGGAGCCTTGCTCTGTCGCCCAGGCTGGAGTGCAGTGGTGCTCACTGCAACCTCCACCTCCTGGGTTCAAGAGATTCTCCTACCTCAGTCACTGGAATAGCTGGGATTATAGGCATCTGCCACCACAGCTGGCTAATTTTTTGTATTTTTAGTAACTTTTGTTTTTACTACAGAAAAATACCCTTCAGCCTCCCAGAGTACTGGGATTGTAGGCGTGAGCCACCGTGCTTGGCCTGCTCACTTTTTGATGTTCTTTTGAAATTGATATTTTGTCTCATAAAAATTTTAGGCCAGGCACAGTGGCTCGCGCCTGTGATCCCGACACTCTGGGAAGCCAAGGCGGGCGGATCACCTGAGGTCAGGAGTTGAAAGCAGCCTGGACAGCATGGCGAAACCCCATCTCTACTAAAAATACAAAAAAAAAAAAAATTGGCCGTGTGTGGTGCCTTGTGCCTGTGGTTGCAGCTACTGGGGAGGCTGAGGCGGGAGAATCTGGGAGGCAAAGGTTGCAGTGAGCTGAGATTGCACCACTGCCTGGGTGACAGAGTAATGCTGTCTCAAAAAAAAAAAATTAATGATGATCAAAGGGTACAAAATCTCAGATAGGAAGAATATATTTTATAGTTATTTTGAGTTCTGTTATACAGTGTGGTGCATATACTTAATAATGTATTATACCTTTCAAAATTGATGTTCTCATCACAGAAATGTATTTCAAGTTTTGGATATGTTAACTAGCTTGATTTAATTATTCCACATTGTATCCACAATTTTTGACATCATTTTGTAACCCATGAATTTATATAATTATAAATTGTCAATCTACAATAAAAAACTTTTGTTGCATCTTTTTAGGAAAAAAATGAGGAAAGTATGTGAACAAACACTTCTTAAAGGAAGATGTACATGCGGTCATCAAGCATATGAAAATGTGCTCATCATTACTAATCAATAGAGAAATGCAAATCAAAACCATGATGAGATGTTGTCTCCTACCAGTCGGAATGGCTATTACTAAAAAGCCACAAAGTAACAGATGTTGGTAAGGTTGCAGAAAAAGGAAAATGCTTATACATTGCCAGTGGACATGTAAATTAGTTCAGCCCCTGTGGAAAACAGTTTGGGGATTTCTCAAAAACTTAAAACAGACCTACCATTTGACCCAGCAATCCTATTACTGAGTACATACCCAGCAAAATATAATTTTACCAAAAAGACACAAGCACGTATATATTTATCACAACACTATTCACAATAGCAAAGATATAGAATCAACCTAGATGCCCATCAATGGTGGACTGGACAAAGAAAATGTGGTACAAATACACTATGGAGTACTATACAGCCTTAAAAAGGTATGAAATCGTGTCCTTTGCAGCAACATGGATACAGTTGCAGGCCATTATCCGAAGCAAATTAACACAGGAACAGAAAAGCAAATACCACAATGTCTGACTTCAAAGCAGCAGCTAAATATTGAGTACACGTGGACACAAAGAGGGGAACAATAGACACCAGAGGCTGCTTGAGGGTGAAGGTTGAGAAAAGACTGAGGCTAAAAACCCTACCTATTGGGAACTATGCTCATTACTTTGGTGACCAAATCATTTGTACACCAAACCCATGCAACACGCAATTTTTCCATGTAACAAATCTGCACATGTACCCCCTGAACCTAAAATAAAAATTGAAAAAGGAAAAAAAAAAGATATACTGGGCTAAAAGCTTTTTGGTTTTGGGTGTGTGCAATTTATTGAACATTAATGCTTTTCACTATTAATTTTTTCACTATTTTCTATTAATTAAGAAAATAGAAGAGGTGGTTTCAGTGTTGGAAAGAAAGTTACATGTATAGTGTGGGGGACTGCTAAATGTGAGTTTGCTTTGAGACATTTAAATGACAATTTCAGTAAGATGATTGGGTCTGGTTTTCTAAGAAGGGTTCTTCAATAGAGATACAAGTCTTTGAGTCATCATATATGGGATTTATTAAAAACTTTGGAAATGATTAAGACAGAGGAAATAACTCACAAATGTATAAGCCTGGAAAATATTAACTGGCACTAAGCCCCAAAAGAAGTTACAATTAAACTAAGAATATTTTTATAAACATATTTGTTAAATTTTCTTCTGAAAAGATATATAATAAGTGGCTGTAAGTAGATAGAGGTTTATTTATTTATTTATTTATTTATTTATTTATTTGAGGCAAAGTCTCGCTCTGTTGCCCAAGCTGGAGTGCAGTGGCGTGGTCTTCATTCACTGCAACCTCCGCCTGCTGGGTTCAAGCAATTCTCCTGCCTCTACCTCCCAAGTACCTGGGATAACAGGCACCTGCCACGATGCCCAGCTCAATTTTGTATTTTTAGTAGAGACAGGGTTTCTCCATGTTTGGTGAAATATTTGTTTCTTTCTTCATCTTACTAAACCATTTAAAATTTCTTTCTTCCTAAATATGATGAAAGACCACCAATAACAATCAATTTATTTTGGTAAGGTCTTACTATTCTTAAACAATTTGGCTTAAGATCTATATACATTTATTCTTCATAGGTAGATATTTAATTAACTGAAAAATATTTTATATATTATACCCCCTTATCTTTAAAATTAACTAGTAAATTAAATATAATTACTATATCACTTTTCATTTGTATTACAACTTTCTTGTCAAACATAATAGTAAATTTTCTTTTTATGATAGTAATTAGAGTCATGCTTTACAGATTCAACTTGTTATAAATTATAATAGTATTTTCTGTGTTATGCCTGTACTGTCAGATTTTAGACAGTGAGAATCCATTTTAACTGAGCTCAATTGTTCTGATAGCACTATTCTAGATATCTTTGAAATCCTCCTCACTTTTGGGCAGCCGTAATGTGTTCCACATCACAGGATCAGCTATTACTCAAATGGATATCACAGAAGAAGAGAAAAGTTGTTAGAAATTAAATTCTTCGCATTGGAGGTTACCTATTAGATTTTTCCATGAGTAAGTCTGGTAGTAGGATGGAATTGGTGCTGGGCCAAATTAGTGCTAGAACTAGAAAAGATACAACTTTTAAAAAGAGTATAAATTTACACTTTCCAGTTTGTTGTTATAAATCTTTAATTTTATTTTGATATGAAGTTCATTTTATCAGTCACATGCAAACTTAGATTGTTATTCCTTCCCCAAAGTTTTAAATATGTCCCTATTTCATTTATAATCCTTCTGTCTCATTGACTTCCGTTTTAGAGTCACTTCGGTCTTTCACTACTTGTTACAGTAGAGGAAAGAAATATCATCTAATCTGTCTGTTTCTCTGTCATCTTACTGATTGCTAGTTAAATGAAACATGTAGAAATAAAAAATCTGTTTTATTTTCACATTGTGGAAGTAAAGTAAGTTATAGTTAAGCAGAGATTGAAGTAATTATTTTTAAGGTAAAATGTCAAAATGTACTGTTAAAATTAAGTTTTGTGACATAATACAAATTCATTCTTTAAGTTAAGGAAAAAATAAACTCATTCTAAGGACAAATTGTTAGCAAATATAATAATTCGTGACACCATTAGTGTGCTGTTATGAAGCACCTTCATTTGTTAATTTGGAGGTCTCAATGACCATTGTGCATATGTGAAATGCAAATACATAATTAGCTAATTTTTAATCATTCTTTTAAAGTATTTATTGGTTATGTACTCCATGTCAGATGTTTTTTAAGGTCTAGGGAAACAATAATAAACAAGACAATTACATTGCACACTGCCTCAAAGTTAATGAACAGTTGAAGAAACTTTCAATTAAATAAATGATTATAATGTAACTTGATACATGTTATGATAGGAGAAACTAGGATATTATGGGATCCTATGGAAATGGAACAAAACCTTTCTTAATGATGGCTTTTTTGAGAATGACACCTTTAGGTTCAGAACTAGAGAATAAATAGAATATAGCCAGACAGAAAGTGGAGTTTGCTTAGCGGAAGAGATTCCCTTGAGGATGGCCATGTGGTGATGGGGCCAGAGAGTGAATGACATCTATTTGTAGGAGTTAGACTTTCCCCAAAGAGCAAAAGTAAGTCATTGAAAGGACTTAGGTAGTAAATAATAAGATTTACACTTTTAGAAATATTACTTAGACTGGAATTTGGAATTGTAGAGGGGCAGGGTTAGAAGAAACAGAGCAAGCAGAAGGCGATTTCGGAATTGCAGTAAAGGAAGATCAAAGCCTAGAACACTGTGGGGCAGGTGGCGACAGACAGAAGGACAGAAAATAATTCACATTTAATCCATCAAAAAATATGTTGACTTTTTTACTGACATGTAATAGTTGTACATATTTATGGGGTACAATGTAATGTTTTGATACATGTACACATTGTGTAATAATCAAATCAGAATAAGTGTAATGATCAAATCAGAATAATTGGCACATCCATCACCTCAACATTTATCATTTCTTTGTGGTAAAATCATTTAAGATCCTCTCTTCTAGCTAATTGAAATATACAGTGCCATGTTGTTAGCTATAGTCACTCTACTGTGCAATGGAGTGTCAGAACTTAATCCTCTTATATAGCTGTAACATTGTACCTGTTGACGAATGTTTCCTTCTCCCCTCTTCCCCCTATCCTCCCTAGTCTCTGGTAACCACTGTCCTACTTTCTACTTCTCTGAGATCAATTTTTTAGATTCTGCATATGAGTGAGATCATGTGGTATTTAACATCAGAATGTTTCCAGAA